CGCCGCGGCCACCCCACCGCCAGGTATTGTTTTGCAAACAGAGGGGGTAATATATGACAGCGCAGACATAACAAGCAGTCTGTGGCTGCGAATGTTTGTTGTTGCAGCGTGCCATATAACTTCTGGTGATTGTTACTTTTCCTCTGATGAAACCACGTATTTATCAGTGATTTATTTTTTATTTTGTAGCACAAACAGAAATCCATAAACTGTCGGTTCAGCGCCATTGACTCTTTGATCAGTTACTGGGCTATTTTTTTTTTCTCCCGTCACTGAGGAGAGATTAAAATCCTTTATTTTCAGCACTCTTTCTGGTGCAAAGGTACGAAGCCTAAATGAACAATAAAAGTGTACTTAAAACGTATCCTCTTTGCTCCTTTATTCATCGGTAACGAAACTTATAGCTGCCTATGTAAGCCTCTTAATTAGTCTACTACAGCGATTTCCGAAAACATTTAGCTGCTATATACAAAGGAAATAAACCCACATGGTCAACTCGAGAGCGCTCCAGAGTTTAAAAGGGCTCCTCTGCAACCTATTGAAATAATTATTGAAGGGTACAACGCCTTCCTCTTTGTCAGAGGAATTGTACCTCGCTTGTCAGCTCTGCTTTTCTCCGGGAGGAAGTCACACTATTTTACTACTGGAGGCATTTAGATCCAGCCCGATTTTAGTCAAGAAAAGTAGAAAGTTTCTGCGGGGTGGGAGCGGGGCGGGCGGGGAGGGCCTTGATTAGCCAATAAACCAACCTAAATTTTTACAGAAGACTACACCTGAACACAAATTCAGTGTTTGTGTTTTTAATAGTCTTGTTCCAGCTTCTTTATTGCCTTCTGTTTGTTTACTACTTTGTTATTTGGGTGGGTTTTTTCAGTTCGAATGTAGCAATGGAACTAGAAAGAGAAATACGGAAACCTAGCACAAGGTAACTCTCTTTACTATCTATAGAATACAGTGGCTCCCACATTTTGAGCAGAACTCCGTGCTTTGGAAAGCCAGAAGTCAGGCTGGATAAAATCTAACTTTTTGCTGTTCCGGGAAAAAAAAAAAAAAGTTGATTAAATCCAAAGCTAGTAAGTAGCTTTCTGTCTTTAATTGCTGTGGTGCAATGCTGATAACACATAGTTATCATCGGCAAAGTTGACCAAGACAGGTTAAATAATTTAATAAGGAACTGCTTGTAATTATGTTATTTACAAGGTATGACAGAGGTTTGAGGAAGAAACAGAAGCTGATCTCAGGGAAATGGACGGGTTTGGGTGACCCCTGGAGCATGGAGTTTGAATTATGGAGATGGGGGGCTGAGAGGTGAATATGGACTAGAGGAGAACAAGATGACTTTTCACCTCAGCACATTTAACTTTTAAATCCAAATAAACGTCTCGCGTTACTAGATCATCGCATTATAAAAGAAAAGGACTAATCCCGGCCAGTTTTGGAGTGCCTAAGGAAGAGAGCTGCCCTTTTCTCACCGAGGAAAAATATCGCCAAAAAAAGTTACAAAGGGGAAAAAGTGCATTTAAAAATAAATCTGGGCAACTTGATGGGGCTTTTTCTTTCCTCTCTCCCTTGCTAAATTAATTATATCAAACATCTGTTCGCATGACGTTGTACTTAATGCCACACACACTATTTAATGATGCCAACGCTTCCTCGAATAGCAACAACACACCTTTTTCGCTTTTTAAAATATCCTCCAGTAATAGGTATCTGAATTACTCGCTCAGGTAAATTAAAAGTAGGTGCGGTCTACCGGTCTAGTATCCCCCACCCCCACCCCCCCCAAGCAAGAGCAAAATACAAACTTAGTAACTTGCGTGTTAAGAAAAGCGTAAACTTTCTCACCTGTTTGGTCATTGAGTCTATTAGACGAACATACAGGTCCTGCTCTGTCCTAACTCCTGGAGAGGGAAAGCAGAGGCAAATTCCTATTAGGATTTCAATAGCGAACCACCCAAATTACATAATGAAAGCATGAGGTCAGGCAATTAACTGCAATGGACAGGGTTCGGCACTCGCGCCAGGCTTCAAAATAAAATTAAAAAAAAAAAAAAAAACCAGAAATCACCTAGTGACAGAGTTCTCGGCCACTCCTGAATCTGGCGCTTCGGGGGCCGTGCCCGAGAAAGCCCCCCCGGCCAGGCTTGCTGCCGGACCCACGGCCACGGTTCGAGGGAAACACGCGAGACCAGCGGTGGTTCGGGCGCTGGGACTGACAAACACCGCATCCCCCCGCGGGCTTTTCTCGCGGTCGGGGAACCCGCTGCACCTGGGCCGGGGCTCCGCTCTGCCTGCTCCGTGCACTCGCCCCGTCCCAATAATTACCATTAATTCGCAAAACTGAAAAAAGTCACTTAAAAGTGATGTTCTGCTGGAGCAGCTATCGATCCCCTTTTTTACTTTCCACTTCAAGACCAACCGGTTAATCATGTGAAGTACCATTGACTTATTGATCGTTTATGTTTTGTTTTCCTTATATGCCAAGGAAAGAGCCGTGTTTACATGCGTGTAATTTTAATCTCAAAATCTTTATATCCTTTTCCAAAAGGCCTTGAAAAAGAAAGTAAGACTTTTCTGCGGCACACGGAGGTTCAAATATGAGGTAACGACAACTTACCATTGCTATACAATAACTGAAGTTTATAATGAATTCCATTGTTAGTTTTTTCATTGTTTGGCTCCTGCAAGTAACGATAAATAATTATATTTAGCATGAAAAATATCTCCTTCCTCCTGACGTACATTTTTCTCGTCCCTGAAGCGGCTCGGAATTAACAGTTTGCAGAAATTCAGCCCACTTTGTGGAGCGCTGATGATGTCATTATCTCGGCGCAAATATGTCATGTTTAGCCGTTTTCCCTGCGTTAAAATAAGTCGGGGACGCGGCGGTAAGTTGCTAAACCCGGGATCTATTCGGAGCGGCCGTAATAACGGGGAAACCCGCACGTGGTCCGGGCGCCTCTGGAGTACCGTTAGGGCTGCCGTGGTTGAAAATTATCTTTGATCAAATAAATCACACTTAAACGTTTTGGGTTGTTTTTTTTTTTTTTAAATAAGATAACAGGCAGACTTACTTTCTCTTTCTCCACAAAGTCCACAAAAGCTGTTCTCTCAATCTCCACTGGCTGCCCCTGCCTGTCGTACAGAGCTAAGACGAAGTGGAAAAAATTGGATTTTCTGAGATTGGAAGGCGGCTGTTTCTCGAAATGTGCCCGAGCCAGCCCCACGCCGCTGCGGGAGAAAACAAGACAAGGCGTGGGTGAGAGCGGCCGGCGCGGCGGGAAGGGGCG